AAAATGGGACCCACCTGCAAGCATTACCTTTCGGATAAAAAAAGAATTATCAAAATCGGTCCACTAGCGGTGGAGTTATGCCGTAACACACATAAAAAAAATAAAAAAAACATACAGACGAATTGAGTACCTCCTTCTTTTGGGAAGTCGGTCAAAAATAAATCCTATTGTGAGTCTATAATAAGAAAAACCTCTTAATACTAATATTATAAAGATGAAAGATTTGTATTTTTGTATTTATAGAAATAACTCAAAAGCTACCTAGCCTTTTATTCTACATGAAATTTTCCTGATAACAAACGTAGTTATTTGGATAAGGATTAATATTAAAACAAATAAAAGAACGCCGCAAATAGCGTGCGGTTTTTAATTCATTTTGTAAACAAAAAAGTAGTTATTGTAAGAGAACCGTTAAAGATAGATATATGCTATCGCTGACGTTTCTATAGAACTTTTTGAGGTCTACAATTCTTTCATTCATCATTTTTATATACCTCTAACGGTTTAGGCAGCGCAAGCCGAGAAATGTTAATTAATATTAGTATAGATAATCGGAAAAATTAGATTTCCCACTTAAATTTGACCGTACGTCCAAAATAATGTGTTTTCGTCGGCAACTTTTTTTTTCTTTATTGTTTTTTCTTAATTAAGCTTTCGTGCCGTTATCCCTTTTTTGGAATAACTCACACGAGAACCAAATAAAAATAAATGATTGAAAATTTTTTTCTTCAACATTGAGATGCTGCTGAAGCTGAAGGGTAAAATACAGTTAGCAGAAATGTATTTCTCTAACTATTTGATGTCGGGAATAAAGTAACGCATTTAGCCGTCTATTAAAACGGAACATTCCCACAACAGTGGCGAATTCCAATCAGCGAACCTACAGTTAGTCAATAGTACAGTTATTTGGCAATTAAGGCAAATAATTTAGTGGTTGGGGCAGAGCTTTGCTTTGTGAATAAAATTCAATATGCCATAAGTTTCCATTGTTAAATCATGATACAAAAACATAATATCCTTCTTGAAAATTACGAGAAAACATTTTTTTTGTGTTGTTGCATTGAGTATTGCAAGTACCACTTACCTGAGAACATAGGCATCGTGAGTTCCGGGTGCAGTTGTGACAGCTGACGGGAGAGATACAGCTGTGAGCGGCAGTACGTAGTGCACAGGAGCACGTCCAGAGTGCCCTTACCCTTCTCTGATCCTAATAACAAAAAGATAAATCTCAAGTCAATTATTAGCTAAAGTTGTTCAAAAACATTAAGAGAAATTATGGACATGATAAGTCCAAACCGAATCATAATTGTTATAATCTACAAAAAACATTAGCAGATTATTTAAAATTATTAACATTCGTTAGAAATCTACTTACGCTCTAAGGTTATGATTTACAATAGTCGAAGTAGTATAACTTTTCATAAATAAAGTTAAATCCGTTGAAATTTAATACAGTTTAGAAATCTTCATTCAAATAGTGCGTCCATGCAAAAGCTCACGTAGGCCTTATTAAAGTTTGATATTGCATATTTCAAAGTAAAACTCGATTGCAAAAGTGTTGTTATATTCAAGAGGGCGCTGAAATCAAACACCTGTCTCTTTCGAGTAAGCGCCGACACGGTACTACGCCGTAGCAATCGCTACATTTTACTACGAACCGTAGCGGAAAAGTAGGCGGCGTCTATACGCCGTTGCAAATCATCGTTACGCGCAACAAATCCCTACTGAAACAACTTCGAAACCGAAATGAAAACCTTGTGTGTATAGAAATATGGTTGAATATTGCTTGTATTCAGAGCAAATTTCATCAGTGCAACATGTACTGAAATTTTAGAGCCGACAGGGCTCGCCGCCCTTAAAAAGGCCACCGCGGGGAGATCGGGCACAGTTCTCGGCGGG